CGGCTCTGCCTGGGCGATCCCCCTTGCCTTGTGCAGTGCAAAAAGTGCCACCGCCCGTGCGTTTGGGCGCCAAGAGACCACCCTAAAAAGCCTCTTGGCATCCCCTGGGCACAGGAGGCTGAGCATCCCTGTTTTTCCAAATCTCCCTTCCTCCCAGGATGGGTGCCAGGGGCCCCATGTTGCAGCCCAGTGTACCTGGCCGCTGGGTGGGAGCGAACCCTTGGGTTGTGCCTGCCGGGTTGTTTCCACCTCCACGTCCTCTTTCTTCACAGCCATTGCGATCACCGAGCAGCCGGTCTCCGTATCCGTCCCCATGGGATACTCCTTCACCCTGCGGTGCAGAGCTGAGGGATGCACATCGCTGCAGTATCAGTGGTTTTGTCAGCACCAGGTAATGATGGGAGCAGAGGTGGCCCTGCATATGACACCAGGTTGGGCCCCTGCCCACAATAATGAAACTGCCCTCTGGCAGACCTGGTGGGAACCAGGAGGCTAGAAGGAGAGGGGGATAGGATGTGTGTGTATGCTGAGGGCTTCTGCATGTGCTGGGAGGGGGCATGCAATGGAAAAGCTCCTTCTCCTGCATCCCTGCAGCTGGAGGAGGGGAGGAAACCAGGGATATCCGCTTTTCCTGCTCTTAAGAGGGGCCTGCTGGTGCTTTACCGTGATGAAGGGGGACCTGCAGCCCACCGCCTGTGTTTCCCCTTTAGTCTGTCTGCCGCCAGATTCCTGGTGCCACCAAGCAAGATTTGCCCATCACAGCACAGCAGACCCAGCTCTACACCTGCAGAATCAATGACCTCTACAAAAATGCCATCTTCTCCGACTGGGTGAAGGTGGAGGTCCATCAGTGTGTCGCCAGAGGTACCAGTGTGTCTTCTAGCATTTCTGTATTTTACGCTTTGCCCACCCTTGCAACAGTGCAAGATCCTGTGCAGTTCCTGGGGCAGCATGTCTTCCCAGCTCGAAAATCACAATACAGAAGGATTGCTCCAGTGATGTGAGCCTGCAGGTCTAAGCCAGACCGCTGTGTCCATCCTCTGGATGGTTCAGGTCCCTGTCACGGTTCCAGTAACCCCAGCTGTATGTACCTGCTTCTGCTGCTGATCACTTGCTGTGGGTTTCCCAGAGTTATACCGGGTGTTTGCCCATTTGCGTTGGGACTGTAAGAGGCAATCTGACTATTTCAAAGCTGAGCAAAAATAACTGTGGGTGTGGTTGACCTCAGCAGGTTGACTGCACCCTTGTCAGGAAAGGGTGAATGTCAGGTTTGGGAAGCCAGGGGCAGGGCTTTGGCATGTCATTTGCTATTGCGGGTGTTGCTCTCAAGGATTACCTGCTTCCAGAGCAGAAGAGCACAGCAGTGATGTCCTGTGGGATGGCATCTCTTGACGCAGGTGGAAAAAGTTCCCTTTCTGGCAATATGCACAGAGTCCTATACAGGGGGGAAAAATCACCATTGTTTGCTGTCCTTGCGGACCAATTCTGTGCCGCTGCTTTACAGGACTGCCCCCTCGGCTCTGGCGAGGAGAACCGGTCATCGTCCTCAACCCCACCGAGCAGAGGGTGGAGGTGGGGAAGCCACTACAGCTGCAGTGTGCTGCCATGGGGGTTCCAGCCCCCAGCTACCAGTGGTACCGGAATGGGAACCTGCTGGAACACCAGAAGAAAAAAAGACTCTGGGTAACATTGCCTTGGAATAGTTCAGAAACTTTGGCTGCTGAGGTGGGTGATGGGAGAAGCTCGTTGCTGGATGGTGGGTGTGGGAGAGCCTCAGAAATCTTGGAGAGACTGCTGAAAATTGTGTTATTGTCATCCTGGACGTGACAGGTGGCAGTCCTTAAGTCTGGCTCATCTGCATGTCAGGGCACGGGCATGCTTTGATCTGTGTGATCAGGTGAATGCCAGCACAAAGCAGTCTCTTCCTGCCTGTCCTCCCCATCTCTCCAGCCCTTGAGAAGCAGCCTCATGCTCAGCTATCTTTCCCTGCCACGTTGCAGGGTTGTGAGAAAGCACTCCACATATCAGCGTTGTTGCTTTGACAGCTGACTGAAGGACTCTGGGTGAAGAGGGAGTACATTTTATGGGCTTCTTTCAAAGCCGTGGATGTTTCTCTAAGAAGTAACCAATTCATAGATGTGTTAAGGGCTCTCAGCACGTGTCTCATGCCTTTTTGCAGCAGTGGCACAAGAACAGCTATTGTATGTCTGCACAGAGGACTGTGGAGTGATGGAGCTGTGGGAGAGCTAGAAGGAAAAGTGGTTAGTCCTGACAGAAGAGAGTCATGGAGACAGCAAAAGGACTGGGTTTATTTTGGGTCATTGGCTGAATGTAAATCAGTGCTGTCTTCTTGATGCAAGAAAGGCAGATTTCCTTCTGGGCCATCATGTGAAGGGTAATGAAGACAAGAGATCCAATCTCTTCTCTGTAGGGGTAGGTGATATTATAGGGGACAGTGGCCTCAGATTGCATTTTTCACAGGGAAGTTCAGGCTGGGGATTAGGAAGACATTCTTCGTTTGGAGGTGGGTGGAGCTGCACTGGAGCCAGAAAGGCAGCGAGATCTCTGTCCTTGGAGGTTTTTAGTAATTGACTACACAAAGCCATGGCCAACCTGACCCAGTGGTGGTTTTAGTTCCTCTCCAAGCAAGAGCCTGGGCTGGAGAACCACAGAGGTCCTTGCCAGCCAGTACTGCTCTGATTCTTGTCCCATGTCAAGAGAGATGGGTAAGAGTTGAAAACTTGTCAGAAGAGAGCAATGGGCGTGATCACAAATCTGTAAAATGTCACCTAAGAGGAAAACCAGGCAACCTTCTGATGTTGGCCATGCATTGTCCTCCCAGTGTGGCTCATGGGGCAGAGTATGGCTATGACACAGGGTTTGGGGGGCTGCTGGAAAAAGAAGGGAAGGCATTTAGGCAGAGAATTCTTGCACTTTTTAAGCTGGGGTCAGCAGCAGACTTTAGCATGTGGCCTTACTGAGCTTCTTAGACAAAAGTAATGGGAAATCTCTTAGCTTCGTGAGGCAAGGAATAAGGTCTCTGTGATCAGGAAGAAAAAAGACTTTTTTATTCCAGGAACACGGGTGCCTTTGGCAGATACCAGCAGAGGGCCACAAACTTTCACCATAAATAATGTGATTTAACTTTTGATCTGTCTAGATCACCCACGCAAAGGTCAGTGACTCCGGCACGTACCTGTGCTGTGCCTCCAATAGCCACGGAGAGCAGTGGACCAGCGCTGTGGATATTCACATAGGTGAGCAGAGCCAACCCACGTCTGCTTTGCTGCAAGTCACCTTCTAGCATGGAAAGTAATTAGAGGGCAGACAGGAATTTAGTGTCCTCTCCTGGAATTGCCGGGCTGGTGAACAAGGAGCCCAGCTGGCATGTTACCCTGTGGCTCAATCGGTGCAGGGGAAGCTGGGCTCCAGGGCATGGGATTAGAAGTAGGATGCATGGCTCTGACACTTGCACCTTCCCCCAGCTTGGACAGATCTTGCACACTTTTACTAACAAAAAGAAAGGCTACCATTTTTAAATACTGCTTCTGCAGGGAGCTGAAGGTAAGACTTCAGAGTAGAAAAGCAGCATGGGGCTCTGCAGGGAAGCTGGAGTGTCCTGTCAGTCCTGTGGCAGCTGTCACAGGAACAGCCTGCAGAGCACAATTTCACACCCTCTATATACTGGACACGATGATCTCAGCAGGCATCCATCAGCCCTGTGATAAATAGGATTCCTTGATAATGGGGTTCAGAGGTAGCAAGGGAAGTGGCGTCTAAAAGAAAATAAACCCAAAACCCGGTGATCCACTGTACTGCAGCATGGGATGCTGCTGGGTCCTGCAGTCTGTCAGAAATCTGCCATGTTAGAGCAGGTTGAGCGCTCTCAGACACTCACTGCAGTTTTCTTGCCTTGCCAAGGTGCTGGTTTAATTGTTCCCCAGCCAAATCACAGCGGTGTCCTTTGCTAAAACTCATTCACATTCTTGCTGAGATGAAGTGGTGCTCTCAGATGCATAGAGCTGGAAAGGATGGTGTTTATTTCAGGAAGGTTTAGGCCCCTCGGACTGGCAGCCCAGGCCTGATGCTGCATGAGCTGATGGATCCCAGGGAGAAGAAGGGTCCCCAGAGCCTCAGGCATGTTCCACCTTTGGTGTGATGGCTGCTTTGGCCCTCTGCCTTTGCCCTGCTGTGAGACAGGAATAGCATGGGATAGCTTTGCTGGCTCCTTACTCCATCTAGAGATTTTTCTATGCCATAAGCTTCTCATCTCGCCTTTTAGCCTGGCTTTAAAATTGTTCCAGAGTGCAAACTGGTCCTGTATAGCCAGAGGACACTCTCCCTGCCTCCTCACAGCTGGCAAAATAGCATCCAGGAGGGACAGGCAGTGAGAAGACGGCACAGGATTAGGTTGGGTTCAAAATGTTATGGGTAGGTAGCTTTAACATGCAACAGTCAGCTCTGTCAGAGGCAGAAAAGGATGAATGGGCTTGTTCTGATGGCTTTCCAGGCACCCCTGGAGCATTAGCAACACTGGTTCAGCTGCTAAAGGTCTTCCAGACACATGAGATTTATGCAATTAAAAATATGCCCTTAATTTCTTCTTTTAGAGCCTGTAGGGCTTTAGGGTTTTCTCCTGGGCTGTATTTTTTAAATTATTTTTAATTTAAATAGGAAAAGCTGGAGCTGTTAGGATAATTATGATTTTAAGAGGCTGGGAGCGCTTGGGCAAGGGAGCTTGTGGAGCTCATGAAAGTGAGTCACATTTAGGGTGGCTTTTCTGAGCCAGAACTGCTAAAAGGCAGGGAAAGGCAAAGCAGGGTGGTGAAAGGCTCTGGGAATATTACTGTGATCAAAAGCAAACAGTCGGCTTCCTCTGTGCTGACTGCTCATGGGGAGAAGCTCTCTGTTTTGAAGCTTATGTTGATCTTGAGTCGTGTTTCCTTTGCTTTCACTGCAGTGAGGGAGCAGGCAAGTCATCTCGGGAAGCGCAGAAGCCAGGCAGGGCTGGTACAAGCACTGCAGACCTGCTGATGGGTACAAGCTCCTCTGTGCTGGCCCTCCTTCCCCTGGCTTGCCTCTTCTCCAATCTTTGCTTCCGAGCTGCTCAGGATTTCATAAATCAGGCAGCATTTCATCAATCCTCCCAAAATCGCCAGACCAATGTCTTTAAGGTTAGCAATCAGGCTGTGAAGAACTGGCATGAGGAATGTTGCTTGCGCGGATGCTCCACAGTTTTTGATCTAGCTTTGCATTGCTGGGGGATGTTGGAGCACGTTTCAGACCTGAGATGAGAGCTGGCACTGGGACACTGGGTGCTGGGCATGGGCTTATCATTTACCTCTTTCTTTTCCAGGTACGTGTCGTTCTGAAAAGTTTTTTGGTGAGTACTGTCATCTTTTCTTCCTGAGCACTTATTCCCTTAATTAAAGCCAGGCTCCAGGATGGGTGGGAGGACAGGGAGTAGGAGTGCTTTTCCTACAGAGATCGCTTCAAGCCTTTACGCCCATGTTGTCATGGGTTCTGTGCTTTTGGGATCAGAGCTGCAAGGCACAGGAGGAGTCCTGTCCCCTGCCAAGTCCTGATCATTCTCAGCAAGTGGAGTAGGATAATTCCTAATGACTAACCTAGTCTTGACCTCCATGCCCACCAAATGAGTTTAAAAGTGTTCACATGACACCTTTTCCCTTCCTTGAAATACAGCAAAGCTCCTTGCTCCCACCACTACTGAGTGCCATAAATCTGGTTTTCCTACAGTGGAAGGTGGGGATAAAATGAAAGCAGGAGCCCATGGTTTCTCTCCTTCAGCCCCGTGGGGAAAAGGACCTCTTAGCCAGCTCAGTGCATTGCCCTCCTAGGCACCGCTGGCACACAAGGCCTGCAGTCATGGTAGGGCAGGTGCCAAATAACCTCCGTAGCATAAATCCTCCTGCACTTCTGGGATTTTGGTTGTCACGTGAAAACTTTTCAAGTCTTTCTTTCAAAATGCTGGTTTGTGTATTTTGTCAAAGTGTTCAGAAAGCTGAGGGCTTTCTGAAGGGCGCTCCAGGCTTGTAGCAGCCTAGGGTCTATCCTACCTGCCTAGATGTAAGAAAAGATTTCCTGTATCCTCACTCAGCCAAAGGAAGTGAGACCTCACCTCCTGCTGAGCATTTACAGCTTTGTCATTTGGTGTTTCCGTTAGCTACAGGCAAGATAGCGCTTTTAGTGGGCAACAACTGCTACCAGCATCATCCCAACCTGATGGCTCCCGTCACAGATGTGTTTGAGCTGAGTCTTCTTCTGGAGCAGCTGGGCTTCCAGGTTGTCTCCCTTCTGGACCTGAACAAGGCTGAGATGGTGACAGCGGTCAGTCGGTTCCTGCAGCTCCTGGGGAAGGGAGTCTACGGTAAGGCAAAGCCAGTAAGGTAAGATAGCCTATGTGCAGGTAGCAGCAGTCAGTGCCAGGGAGGAGCAGGGATTTGGCAATTTTCCAAACAGCTGTTGAATTAGAAGAGAAGAAATTGAACCTTCCTTTAGGGGCGGCAGAGGAACCCTGTGGCACAGTCTGCAGCGGTGTCAGGCTTGGCAGAAGCCCCCAGGTAAATGCTGTTCGGTTTTGGCCAGATTATAGGCAGGCAAAGTAGGTGTTTCTCCATCATGTGGCTCACCTCCAACTCCAACAGCATGGTCTCATGCTGAGGTTTTGGGGACCCAGAGCTTCTGATGGCAAATGGGAGAAGGTCTTTTGATTTTTCCTTAGGTGAAAAATTGAGGAGATTGACTGTCAGTTTGTCCCCACCATGCTCCTTTGTGAGGAAAGGAGCTCCTTTTGAGCCATGACTGCTACAGCCGGCCACGATTTCCTTGTTTCTCTCTCCTGATGGTCTAATTTGAGCCTCTTGACAGCTTTTTTGCAGGAGTGCATTCCCAGCTGCAGGAGGCTTTGAGGTTGGGCTTTGAGCTTATCGCACGCTGTCCTCATCAGGAAGCGTTCCTCAAACACAAAACCAACTGGCAGATCTTGTGGGTCTTAAAGCAGGTGTTCAGATTTGGTGGTGAAAGTAGCTTCTTTGGGGTTTCTGAGGTTCTCCCAGCCTGATGGATACCCTGAAAACACCTGGCAGATGGGTTTTTTTGCTTCCAAACCTTAGCACGAGGCTTATATTCACTGCCCTCCCAGCTGTGTGGCATACCAGGGCACTAAGACAGCAAAAGTCAACACAGGCCAAGTCCAGCCCGGTGCTCAGCATGAGGTTCAGAGGTTGTGCAATGGATAGGGACACAGCCACAAGTGAAATGCTGCAAAGCCACCTCATTCCAGGAAGCACTGACTCACTAAGGGAGGTTGAGCTGTCAGGGAAGGGCAGTACATGATTGTCGCCACTGTGGCCAAGCATGTCATCTGATGACAGCATATTCCTATGACTTCACTTGCAGCTTCCTTTTGTGGTTGTTCTCTGAAATCCCCTTACATCTCAGGCTTTACCTCCTCTCCCAGGCCAGAGTCATCCCTGGGGGGCTGCTATGCTTTTCCCACAGCACTGCCGTTCCTACCCTCTATGCATAGCGCATGAGGACCAAATGGCATTTTGTCCGCGGTGCTTCCCTTGTTTTCATAAGCATTGGAGAGAAAAAAGATTTGGAAATGGCAAACCTTTCATGCTGTCATGCCTTATTTAAACTTCTAGTACTTTTCTGCTTTCATGGCTGCTGATCCTTCCTGGCAAAATTGATTTTGTGCACTGGCAGGGAAAACATTAACAGCTAAGTTACTGAACCTTGATAAGCCTCAAGTGTTTGCTAGGCATAGCCTGCTCCGGATGATGGTTTTCTTTACAGCTTTCTACGCTGAGTGGTCTACTGTTATTTGGAGGCAGTGAACCCCAGTGCAGGCTGGTCCCAGCAGCGTGACTGAGTTGAGAACTCTTGCCGTAATTGGTGGCATGCTGACTTAATGGTGGGGCATTGGGTCAGTCTGCCTGCTGATTGCCCCAACGTTCCTCCATCTGAAGTGTGCTGCCTCTCACTGTGATGCATCTTCAAAGCATTTCTTCAGCTGTTCTCCTTACATAAAATTAAAAGAATCAGGTGAAGTGCAAATCCTTGAAATTTACTTGTCTTGTTAATAAAAACACACATTTAGAAAAAGCTAACACCACCTCCTAAACCCTATGTATCAATTTTTCAATGCACTAGCTCCAGGACAAACATCTAGAACCGATTGAGAGGTTTAGGATTCATGTAACTCATATGCATGGGAAGACAGTGGCGAGACAGCAGCTCCAGGAACAACCTAGGCAGCCTCTTAAAACTACAAAGACCCCAGGGGTGCCTGTGGTAGCCGGTCCTGTACATCCATCTGGGTGCCTCAGACATGCACCTGCACAGAGGCATCCCGGTGCTTCCACTTGTTTTGTCTTGCTCAAGGAACCTGGAGGTGCCGTCTGCCATGTAGCAACCACCACAGCTGAAGTCAGGAGAGCTTTGCGTAGATGTATGGAGTGAAGCAGGGAACTGGGAGGAGAGGGCTGACTGGTGAAAGACTGTCACTGGACTGAAGTGGGAGACTGGTGTAACACGGACATACCTGTTAGCATGCCCGAGAAGCATGCTGGCTGTCTTCTGAAGTTTAACTCCAGCGGCAGAGAGTTTAACTGCAGAGGCAGCTGGGGCCTTCATGCATCTTTCTGCTGGTACAGATCAGAAGAAAGGACATAGTTATATGGGTTGGTGTTTGAGCACAGTGCCTGTTGCTTCTAGAGTTTTGTTTCACTTCAGGATGCTGATAAGAGCTGAAGAAGATGTGTCTGATCTCCTTAGACCTCCTTTTTATTGTGGGGGTGCTCTGGGTGGCTGACCCTCCTTTGTGTGTCCGTACTGACCTGTCTGTGGTTTACACTGCTACAGGGGTTAGTGGGAAGGGACTTTGGAGTCATCAACACAAGGTCAGCGTTGGTTGTGGCTCTCCTTATCAGGTCTTGAAGACTTCCAGGCATGGAGCCCCCCACTTCTGCACCTGCCCATCCCAGGGCTGCACCACCCTCCATGGAAGTCTTTCCTCATGTTAAACATGACCCTCCATGGGTTGGTGCTCATTGCCCCATGTTGTATGGTCCACACCAACAAGGAGAGTTGGGCTTTGTTGTCTCTGTAACTGCCCCTCCAGGAACTGTAGGCTGTTGTTAGACCTCCCTTCACCTTCACCATCCCAGCCCAGTTCCTTCCCCCTCCTCTCCCAGGCCCTGGGCCCCAACATCTTGGTAGCCTCTGCTTTTTCCAGCTTCTCCACCTTCCTCTTGAACTGAGGTCCCTATGGACACAGGATCTAAGTGGGGTCTACTCAGGGCCAAGGAGAGCAGTGACAGGTTCCTTGGCAATCCTGCATCTCCTAGTGTAGCTCTGTCCTCAGTCAGTCCTGGTTCATCTTCAGCATGGTGTCTGCTGTGACCCTAGGCTTGCTGCTCAACCAGTGCTTGGCCCCAGCCAAAATGCTGCCTGGGGTTATCTGTCCCCATGCAGGACCTTGTCCTTCTTATTATTCAGCCTTCTCTGAGATTTCTCAAGCCCAGTGCAAAAACTTGCTTCATTTTCAGGCACAGGGATATTATATGGCTGCACGTTCGAGGTGATCCAAAGGCTTCTCTAATTCACCATATGGAGGTGGTGGCTCATCTGCCTGCTTTTCCTCCAGTTTTTCTCTTAGAAAAGCTGCAGAGGACTTTCTGAAGGCCCCAAACATCCCCTGAATGGTCTAATTATGCAACTCTCAGGCAAACGAGGAATCCCCCGGATGTTATTTCAAGCATCCTAAAAAGTCCCAAGTCAAAAAAATAATGTCAGAAATTCAACGAGAGCAGAAAGTTGCAAGTGAAATACTAGGAATATGCCATCATGCCTTAATTAAGCTGCGTGCTCACGTTTACTGTATTATAAGCAGTGCCTGGAGCTTCCCCTTTTTAATTTGGTACATGGAAGCTTGTCTCTGATCAGGTTTTTGACTCATGAGATGTGGGAAGGGCCTTGAAATGT